TTTACTAAGGCACCAAGGTAAGCTAAAAATCAAGACACTCATTATCAGTATATTTTCAATAATTCCAGGCCAAAAGAATTACCAATGACACAAAAATACATTATTGCCTACTATGACTTGCTTCCTTTCCCTACCATAGTCTTGCAAGTCAAGATTCTGGGGAAGAGGGCAGTCAGGCAACCAAAGTTGCTTTCACAGATCTGGCCGAGCATATTGGCTGCCAAATCAATCAATGAATCTCATCAATCATCATGATGAAGAAAGTATGTGAAGTGCTTTCTTGTTATTATGCATCATATTAAGTTCAATAAACAGTAGAAAAAATTAATTTAGCATAGATATTAACTTACGCAAAGTAGCATATGGAAGAACCAATTCCCATGTAACAACAAGGCCATCAGAAGAAGCAGAAGCAAACATTGCTGTAGTATGGGAAATTATCAGGCCACTTAGACATGTAACACCTTTCTTATGCACGTCTGATACTTGTAAAATACTTCTCCACTGTAGCATAGACCATAAGAAAGAAAAGGTAAATTATGATGTTAGTTAATTGGCATAATCAATTAGATAGACTAAAATCATTTGAATAATAGAAAACGATGGAAAGAGATATTAAACAGTTCTTTGACCAGCACTTATTTTAATAAAGGTCAAAACAAAGCGACTAAAATTAAGATTAAAGAAGCTTCTCAATGAAAACTAGGACAACTATCATAATTTCCTGAATATATACCAGACTGGCTCTAACCCTGAACTAGTGCACAGGTTTTAAGTTAAACCAATTTGATCATTGTCTATAAAGTAGCCCCTACAACAATTTGCAGGGTCAAGCACTACATTACATATACAATAGCACCTTAAAGTGTTTTCGACTTATGGTGACCGCTATAATGTTCTACTGGTCAATGCTTGCTACATTGCATGCCTGTAAAGGTTGCTTGATGCCCAATTCAACATAAATATTTCTTAAAAAAAAAATGACTATACTATTAAACCTCCACCACACTCTACTACAAGGCCCAAAACTCTACCCTGATTAAGTTAAAAATTAAAATTGTTATATTTTGATATAATGAATTTCCATTTCAATATCATAATACAACTACTCAACATAAAGCTTGTAACCTCTAACGTGGACATTTGGAATTTAAATCTTTGTTATATTGAATTACAGGATTTCTTTTAATAGTATGAATCATAATTTACGTTAGTTATCTGCTTTAGACTTGTGATGCCCGGTATAGCAACCACTATACTATTTGCCATGAAAGCCCATTGCCACTGTGTGTCTGCTATTTGTTATCTATAACATCAATTTGGTTGACTCTAAAGCTCAAGTATCCAAGAATTTTCACTTCTTGGCAACCAGGACAAAGAAGAGAAGAAAAGAATGTACATTTTTTTCCTCCCTCAGTTTAAAAGCCTTTAGATCTTTTATTTCCGACTGGTATCAGTTAACAGCAATGAGATAACTGTTCAGAATGGCAGGTGCAAACCAGTATGACTAAAAACAGTACAGGACTAATATACCAAAAGGCAATCCTTGACAGTGACCACAAAAATATTAATGTGTCTTCAAAGAAGAAATTAGGAGAAAAACAGATGCTTCAAAATTCAATATCTACAGAATAATGTCAATGTTATCTAACTGAATACCTCTCTTTTCTTGAGGTCCATTTCCCATACAATGAGGACACCATCAGAACTTCCTGACAGAAGATAATGCACCTCGGCATGTTGAACTGTCACAAACATTTTTTAGTAATTTTAGAATCCACAAGAATTATTTTAGAAGTATACATCATGACCAGACAAAGTTGTGATTCTTCTTCCTATAAGGTGCATTTAAATAAAAGAAACAAATATAAAGGCACTTTTAGACCCGTATGTCTTTAAGAAATCATCTGTACAGTCTGACTACAGGATAATCTTTCACCATTTGGATGCAAGGATCTCCTACAATGAATCATAAAAGAACAAATATGAACGAAGATAGTTCAGTTGAAAATAAATAGTCCTAACGGAAGAGAAAGATGGACAAAACATAGAAAAGGTAAGTATACAAATCATTCAGCTTATCAGCTCTCATCTCCATTTATATCCATTTTTTCCATTCATTTCTCTATAAAAATGTTGTCGACGAGTAAACATAAAATGGGTAAGTTTACATTCATAAAAAATGATTTTTAAAATAGAATAAACCACGGATTGTGCCGGTGGTCAGTGAGTAGAGTAGCTAACCTCAAATTTTCAAAAGGCAGGGGAGAAAACCATGGAAAAGATGACTTATTTGAATAACCCGGTGACCTACCAATTGGCTTGAGAAAATCAGGGGGGTCCTTCCCCCTGAATAAGGCCTCAAAGCTGGTGTATAATCCACCTTCTTCCCCTTGGGTAGAGGAAAGGTGTCTGATGCAAGCCCTTTTTTGGACCTCCAAAAACATGTTAATTCAAAGCTTCCAAACTAACAAAAGGTGGGCACCATCCTTCTTGTCAGCTCTTTCAAATCAGTGATATTCCCTTTTAATCAACATAATTATCTAAGCAACAGCTTTAGCATTCTTTTCCAGGACATACAAAGTAGAATTAGAGGCTCAAAAATTGACCTACATGGTGATATGTTAGTTTCACACATCCTCCTTTTGGGTGGAAAGTATTAAGAAATCTTTGGATCCTCTTTTCTTTGTATATATTGTACCAAAAGAATCCAAAGCTTTGTCAACCATCACAATTTTAAGATCCGTTTCCATCTAATAAATAGGTCCTAGATATCTCTTCACTGGTTTAGCAGATAGTCACCAAAGAACTGAACCAATAGGCCAGAATATATGTTAATACTAACCAGTTATCACCAAAAAGTTCAGCTGCTTGCTGATATTTTTAGTAGCCAATGAGTTAAAAGTTAAAAATATCACAAGAAAAGCTAAATTTACCGATCATAAACAAAATATGATGCCTTCACAAAGCTGGTCCAACTAACTGGAAGATCTCATCTGAAAATTCTGTGAAGAATCTAAATTCTAAAACTATAAGGAAAAAAAGAAGTAAATAAATGTCTAGGCAAGTTAATTTGTCAGGCAATCAAGTAAACAATTTGAAGATTTCTTCTAAATAATTAATAATTGCTCAGTTACATACAAAAAAGTTACTGGCGTTATGAATTGCCCACCTTTTTTTGTCATGCACACAAAGAAATAGCGAGAGTTTATCCTTATGATACTTAAGAACATCATAATATAAAGAAAAGAAGAAAGGTGACACCTTTGAAAGCATCTTTGCTAGAAGGAAGCCACTGAGTACAGTTAACGACGGCCTTGTGCCCAGGAAGCGTAGTCAATATCTGAGCAGTCTGCAACATAACCACAACAAAGGAGAACGAACGAATGAGAATCGAAAGAAAGCGGTCGAGAAACTAAACGAGGACAGGAGAGAAGACATGGAGTAGTCCACTCACCTGCGGGCAGAAGATAGCGACGGCGTTCTGGGCGCCGAAGGCCACCAAGCCCGAAAGGCCCCAGGAGACATTGTTCACGATGCGGTTGCAGCCGGCGCCGATGAATTCCCGTTCGACCGCGAGCGCCATCGCCGTCGCGGCCTCTTTCGTGGAGAGTATACGGCTTCGGAGAGGACGACAGGACGCTCTATTAAACCCTACCACGAACACCTCTGGCGGTTTCCCGGCGTGGCTTTCGTCTCGGTGAATCGGATTGTGGATCAACCGGTAACCCGATTTCTCGATCCGAATCCGATAATATTTATTTGGCTGATGTGACCTCAACTCTGACGCATCCCTCTCCTCTTCCCGTCGAGCTCACGCTTTTTAGGACTCGCCTGTGCTACTCTTCATTTACATGATGCTATGGTTTGATCATTATTATTTTTTGGTTAATCAAGATTCATAATGTGAAGTCTACTCGATTCAAATATGATATGGACATATCATGAAGGTCTCTCTCGTAGACGATAAAAGATTAATTTGAATATATTATATTAGTATCATATGTAAAATATATATTTCTTTTATTGTCACTTAATATTTTATAAGGGATGATAGTTATGAGATTATTAGTCTTTTCGAAATATATTTTTGTCTCTAATTAATTAAACTAAATTTGATAAATAAATACTTTGTAGGTCTTTTTCACCTGCAATAGTTCAAACAAATTTTATCGTCATAGTAGTGTCAATCTAAACAACCTAAAATATGAGATATGAATATTTTTTACCTAAGAAATATTTTCGTACACCCACGACTCTTGTAACGCATCATCAAAAGAGCAATTTTTTAATCTCTTATATACGTTGTAATATTTGAAAATCAAATCAAGTTAGATCAATTTTGATAATGTATATTTTGGATCCAGGTCACGTCACAATCAATGCCACGCTATGCTACTGTCAAGTCAACAAAAGGAGCACCCCCACACGTCGAGCCAGAATCCGTACCAAAGCGTTGTTCGGTACATCCTATCTTGGAAAGCTCGGGACGGCGTCGTATGGCGCCGTTTTGCACGTCCCGAGACGACAGCCGCACAAAGGTACCATCTTACCTTCCGAGGATCAGCCACCACACAAAAAATCGCATATGACCGACTCTCGTACAGTAGTATAAAAACCCCTGACCGGCATCCGGCTTAGGGGAGACAAAAAACAAATCAACCCAGCAGTGACTTACTCGTCGAAGGGGCCAAAGTCGATAATGACGACGAGAGCCATCCTTGTAGGAAAGCGACTACCCCCCAAGCCACGAGTATTCCAACCAAGAGTCGTCAACCAGCATCTTGACGATGAGCCGTCAACCAGCATTCGGACCAAGAGACACCAATCAATATTCCGATGCCAACACCCCGTTTTGAGGGCTTGACCGACCTCGGCAACCAGCTCAGCCGACCAAAGACTCCCGACACCGACCCGTGGATCAGGCCGTGCTGACTCATCAGCCACGACGTATCAGTTCATCAACATTTTTCACCGGATCAAAAATGATAGTACACACAAATTTTGAAGAATATATTTGCATCATGTAATTAGGATTGACGACCAATAAAGAACTCGTTAGTTTCATCATATCCTTTTTTTCAGAACTCGAACACTACTTGAGTTTGTGAACCAATTCTAAACCCACCCGATTTGAATGTTTATTTTACTCGACATATTCATTGAAAACATAGATTAATGAGAACAATAAATGGACTCGTAGGTAGGTGCGAATACCCAAAAAGAAGCACTCCGCTGCTATCCCTACGTACGTACTTTACAGGTATGTTTCCATCCACCTCAGAGTCCACGCTTTCTCTCACTTTCAGCCACCGTTATAACATCAACCTTACGGTTCAATATGTTCTTCACAGTTCCTGTCTATTTTATGTTGTTTTCCAATGCCTTGAATCGAACAAGTTGATACTGTCTTTAATTCCTGTCACCACTGCGTACCTGAAATATCAAGCTTAGAAATGTCAGATGATTTGGAAACATCAAGTTTGCATTTGTTACTCAGTGCCTTGTTGAATACGGCTGACTGTTAATGTCAGATCACACGTCGTGATTTATCAGTAGATGATCGATCAACAAGAAATTTAATTTAATGATTTAAATCATTAATGATTTAATGATTTAAATCATTAATGATTTAATGATTTAAATCATTAATGATTTAATGATTTCAACTGTGAAAATTGTTCGGCCGACAGCTTGCCATGTGATACACATTTTGTATGATACATGTGACAAATAATCTGATCTCACCTCTGTGTTAATAATGTAGGGCAACTGAGCTGGTTATTCTTCGTAGCAGTGTCTTAATCTGCAACAAGGTACAGCTTCTGGTTGTCACATATCATGGCTACATCAGATATCCTCCCTCCCTCCTCTGATAGAATTCGTGAGCCTGAGCAGTTTAGCAGCTCTTGCGAGGACTCGATGAGTTCTTCCATGGTGAGAGGTACCCACAGCACTACTCCCTCCTTTCTCTTTTCTTTTGGGTCCCATGGGTGGAAAGGGAACACCGTGCATCTCCTCCGGGGTTGGGTTTTGTCTGAGCGGAAAAAGAATGACAAGAAAATGTCAAAATATAGTATTTTTGTACATGTAAAATGTTTGGTGCAAGCCGTATAAACAATGATGCACACAGGACTTGAGATAATAATTTAGGGGTATTTATAAAATGCCAAGCAGTTATTTACAGAAAAATAGATAAATTAGGGATTACTTGGTCAAGACATTGGTTGCAAATCTGACAACCCAAGCAGCATTTACAGAATAACCATAATAAATAAGGATTTCTTATGGATTGTAACATTTTATTTTGGTCAAGATACTAGTTTATAACAAAGATTTAAATACTAGTTCAATATTGGCAACCTGTCAGACTGGCATGGTACCCAAATACTAAGTAATGTTCTGGTAAAAATGTCAGGATATTAGTTATAACAAAGATTCTGGTAAATACTAAGTAATTCAATTTTGATAACCTATCAGACTGGTATGGTACACAAATACTAAATAATATTCTGACCTTTTACCATCTTTTATTTATCATTGGAATCAATAACAGAAAATGTGATATGTCCAATGATATTTAGCTATATGGAACATGATATATTAGGGATCTTTTATGACTGGTGACAGTGTACTTCAGTCAAGATATCAGTTGCTGCAAATATTATCTGTTTGATATCAAAAGATCTGTTGGATGTATCCCAACCTTTTACTGCCAAGAAAAATTATAACAGAGAAAAAAAAATGATGTCCAAATGGTACTGAGCTATATGGTTCGTTTTTTGGTGCTTTCTTAGATGGTAAACAATGGTTGAAATATTCGGACCTGATTGGCATTATTAAGTGGGTGTTGGTAGGAAAGTGAATGATGTATAATGTTACAATAAAAAAATGGAATAATGAAGATACCAATTTTAGCATTAGTTGTGGATTCAAACTAAAAGTCTAGGGTAGAAAGCAATTTATCCTGAAATGTAAAACTAAATTTAAGAATCAGCTTTGAGAATGCAAGATCTGAGAAGCAATGTGGAAAGTGTTTGAGAGCTACAGTGCATCTACCTTGAGTTTGTGTACCACGATCAGGAAACTTGGAGAGCTCTTCAAGCTTTGCATCTTCCAGCATCATCATCAACGATTTGCTTCCACATTTTACTGCTTCATCTAATGGAGTACTTCCCCACCTGCAGTTTAGCAATTTCTGCGACTAATGTTTACATTCATAACAGAGACTGCCAGTAAAGAAAAGCATAGCAGAGAGATCCATACTGAATGCCAAATCCAGTCTATCAAAAGAATAAGAAGAGGTTTGATGTCTCTAATGAAGCTTTGGCATGATATATGTGACGAGTAAACACTTGGGGAATTACTGCAAGAATAGGATCCAAAAACTAGTATCCAAGACTTGCAGTACATGGTTTGCTTCTACAAGAAAAAGCTACTTTGTTTATTTTGCATGTTGTTGTCAGACTGCTTTATGAAAAGTGAAAGAAGCATTTGTTGTATTCATGAACGAATTAAACAAATATCTAAATTGATGAGAAAATTTCCATATATAGCCACAAAAAGTTCACTCAATGATAAGAAAAGCCAGAAATAGAAAGCAGTGTAGGTAACTAAAGATAGGTAATATTACTTCCTTAAGTGCTAATTATTCTCAGAATTTTTAAATTGTTTTTCCCTATTAGACTTGTATAGAGTAATACATGGTTTTACCTAGTTTAAAATCTGTAGTTCTTCAGAGTCAAATAGTCAATGTAATTGGATCCTACAACTGTATAGCCTCATGGACAATCTCTGTTCAAGCAAGATAGTTGAATTTGACTGTTGACTTCGATGTTGGAAACTCCTCAAAGAGATTGCTGTTGCTTTTTCTCATGTTTTCATGTTTACTTCTTGATAGGAATATATGGTATTACCTAGTTTAAAATCCCTAGTTCTACAGAGTCAAATAGTCAATGTAATTGGATCCTACAACTGTATAGCCTCATGGACAATCTCTGTTCAAGCAAGACAGTTGGATTTGACCTTTGACTTCAATGTTGGAAACTCCTCAAAGAGATTGCTGTTGCTTTTTCTCCTGTTTTCATGGTTACTTCTTGATAGGAATACTATCAAAATCAATGATCCTATGCATGCTCCTAAGATCCTACTAAAGAGGATATAGCATCACAGATCTATAATTCAGTTGAATTTTTATAGTGAAAAAGGAGCATATTCGAGATTCAAAGTAAAAAAAGATTTAAATAGATTACTATCTATAAAATAGACATGTGGAGAACCATACGTATCATGGATTGGACACTTACAAATTAGATAATGCAGAAACACTTGTTGGATTCTTCATATAAGGATGTGTTTTTATAATAGAGACTGGAATAGTTCAAAGCACTGTAAAGGACACTTGTTGGATTCAATTTCTTAATCAGATATATAAGGGATATGTGAGAACTAGGGGCTCAACAATATACATAATGTATTGAACTACACATGACTTAGATATAAAAGGAACATTTACTGGGTATATTCAAATATTCAATATTTATTAAAATAAATAAAATGACAAGAAAAACTCAGACATAACTGAGATCAAGATTCAAATTGCTAGAAGCTACCACAAAATGTGCTAGGCACTACAAATCAATTTGTGCACATGAACTTATGATGTACAACTAGGCAGACAAGATTAAGAGTTGTTGCAATCTAAAGTTATTCATTATTTTAGTAAGATATGAGGTTCATCATTTATTTCAAAGCGAAACTTCGATTCAAGAGAATAAGTTTCCTGATGATCCATGTGTTAAGAGTGAACAATATTATGAGTAACAATATTTTAGCAGTAGCTTGTCTAAATGGAAAATGTTGTGGACCTGTTATTCATTATATCATAGCAATACCATAAGTGTTAATAATGGTATTCATATTTGTACCATATTATACACTTTCAAGGAAAAAAATTGTGTATCTCCATCCCATTTCTGTCTGTAACTATGTTTCACTAAATATTGTCAACAGTAACAAATTTCAAATATACACCATTTTTAGAAGCACAACAATGATGCTGAAACTATATTATCTTGACATGTGAAAGAAATTCAAAAATTCATGATAAAGCATTGAGTGTCACAAGGTAATCATAGTTGAATAAAAAGGGACTTGACAAGCACATGTCAAACAGATGCAGAAAATTTTATGTATCAAGATAGTACCTGTCAATAGCAAAAACACTTGCCCCAGCTTCTAAAAGTATTTTTGCAATAGAATATAATCCATCAGCAGCAGCTATGTGGAGTGGTGTACGATGATCATAATCGCTTGAGTTTGGATCTACTCCATAGTTCAAAATCCTTCTAATAAAATCTGAGTCTCCTCTTGCAACAGCTGCACAAAGTTGGCTGCCAGCATCTTTAAGATGTAGTTTGGCCCCTTTACTATGGAGTAAAGAAGCCACCCGGTCATGACCATGCTTCACAGCTTCTAACAGTGGCGTGTTTCCGAAGTTATCTGATGACATGGATAATGTATAAGCATTAGCAATGCAAAGATGCTTTGTGTAAAGTAAATTGACATGTACACAAGGGGTACCAGAAAGGTTGATATCTACGCCTTCTCTAATGAGGAATATTGTGATGTCTTCAAACCCTCCTGAAGCTGCAAGATGCTGGGCAGGATAATAAAGTTAATAGGTTCATACAAAGCCTGAGTAAATTGAAAGAAATATCATGATAGTTTGACCTCCTATCAAGTATTTAATCATATGGAATAATAAGTAATGGTCTTTTGTGTAAAAATAGTCATTGCATGACAGTTGAAAGTTTCAACTTGAAACATGTAACTTTCTTCCTGTGTTCATAAAATATTTTAACCAAAATGATCATTGTTAATGATGCATGTTTTAATTGGTATGTCCCTATTTACACCATGAAATACTCTAATACATACAGGTCCAATCATCCTCCTTGTGTCATGCATGCTAAAGTCAAACACTAAAAATGAAATTACAAAAGAATTACAAATTTCAAGGTAATCAACATAGGTCAATATGGTGACTTAATGATAAGAACTCAAGAAGCATGAGCAATCCTGATAAATACCATCTGAAATACTAAGGTATCCTTTATTTAAAGAGAGTCTTTCCATAACTAATAAGCTTGAACCGAAAAGGATAACATTCAGATATCATTGTAGTTTTTCTTGGTCCACTTTTCATTTAGAAATTATTATCTACCACTCCAGTGTTAAGGTCTTTCAGAAGTTACAGAATTAACGGAATTGGGGAACTGGAAGTTTCAGCTTTGGGTTGATTTTCTGGCTGATGTTATCCCTCTTTCTGTTAACTTATGAAAGACCAAAGTCACCAAGCAACTAGAAAAACTTGCCATTTAAATTATATAATCAAAGAGAAGAGAGAACATGAATACACATTTAATCATAATCCACTGAAAGAAAATGATTAGTATGCAATTTAGAACTAAGAATGTTCTAAAGTGTATTCCATTAATTCATACCAAAGGTGAACGCCCATCATAGTCTGTCTTCTTCGGATCAGCTCCCGCTCTTATCAGACCTTTTAGATGACGCAGATCTCCATAGTAAGCAGCACTATTAACCTTTAAAGCAAGTTCGGCTTCTTGCTTTCCGATATGAGATGTGATATCGGATTCCAGTTGTTTGATACGCAAAGTAGATTCGTTTCCCTTTCATGTACAAAAATGTTCCATTAATAAACATTTAAAGAATTGTGGAAGAAATTAGTGGATATGAAGATTCTAGCAAAGAAATGCAGAGGAACAAGCATAAGACAGATATTCAAACAAAGAATTGCCTGACAGTAATGTGCACAAAACTTTACCTCAAGAAGGTTACTCAATATTGTCCTACCATCCACAAAATACACCTCCAGAATATTTGTGAAAAGTTGCTTATCAAGACGTAAGAGTCTACAGAGTTCACAGACACGAACTGTATAAGGCTGAGGAATGTTGCAAAGAATGGCAATTTCTCCAAATGAGCTGCTGGGCTCTAATTGCGTAACAGTCTCTTCTGATCCATCTTCACCAACCGCTATTCCTTCCTGGGGGAAGAAAAGTGTTAAGAGATAGATAAGGCAATGTCCATAATGTAATTTTCTCAGTTGGACTTGGAATTGTACATGTTTAATCCAATTTTATTATATAATCCTAATGTTTATGGGTGGGAAGAGAAAGAAACCCACATTATACCTAATAAAATCCAAAACATGAGGGTTATTTAATGCTATACTAATTCCTTTTCATGTGTGGCAGGTGTCATCTTTTAATACTATTGGGTCTCACAAAAAAAATCAGATTATGTCCACCTTATTCCTTTTCATGAACTTTTCATTTGCTATAAGATCATCTTTATTTATCAAACATCACTTAATACCAACATAATGTCATGTCCTACAAAAAAAAATTGCACCTTAATGTACGAAACCATTTCGTGGCATCCATTTAATCTTATGAACAAGCAAATATAAATGGTTCAAAAAATCCAAAATTTATAGTTTGTAATAGGGTTTCGAATACTGATTCGTACAGGCATACCAAGCTCTTCTCCGTACAGTATATACCGGTATCCATCGTCAATACACCAAGGCATATTGACGACATGCCCTAAAACCTTAAAAATACCTCAACCTACCACACCGTACCTCGATAACGGTTGAAATCCGAGGTGGTACTAATCGGTATACCTCGATACTGGTCGGTACACCTCAATACCAGTCAAAACACTAGTATCGCCCGGTAGAGAGCGGTCCATGTATTGGTACTTTCTCGGATCGGTGTGCATCGCTCGTACCAGATGGTACACATTGAAATTGAGAACCCTGATTTGTAAAATCCCAAAGAACTCTATTCTGCCTGTACCGGTCCATACTAATCAGTATATAGTGGTCCAAGAATGAACTGGTATATGAACCACCCCATTTCAAGCAGTTCAATCCAGTCCAATAAAAAAAATATCTTTTAATTTTAAAGCCCCACTCCTTTAGGGCTTGTGAATAGCCAAAGTGAAAATTGTTATGCACCATTGACAAAAGTTATGTACACTGCTTATTCAAATACATAAAGCGCTCAAAATGAGAAATGTTTACTATGCTAACTATTGTATATAATTAGAATTCCTGCTTAACTATGACCATAAGTTGGACCCTAACAAATAAAATATCTAAAGAGAAGAATGATGTACAGAATCATAGATTATGATTGTTACCAGAACACCATGGCAAACAAAATATAGCTGGTCAACTGCATTGCCCTGTTCCAGAATCAGTTCACCTGGAAGGAAAAACTCTTCCTGCAGCCTGATTACCTGCAACATCATATCAATGAATTAAATACTGTTTTTTAATTGAAATAATCTAGAAGAACAATCTATTTTTGGACAACATGAGACAATGCCTTCCCAGTTCATTGTGTTAAAATCACCAGCCAATAAAATTGAAGAAGAAAAAGCAGTTTGGTTCAGAGGAAGAAGAAGATTTGCAACACAAGATGAAGCATAATTTCTTTAAAGTTTTTATGACAGGATTGTATTAAATACATGGTCAGTAGTACATTCTTAGACATAAGAAAAAATAGAGGCTAATTGAGGAAGCTTCAGAATGTTGATTTGATGCATCCCTTACATGACCTGAGTTAGATCAATTTGGGAGTTGATTGGATTTATTCTAGAATCAAACCATTCTGTCCTAAGATTATGGAGCTAAATGCACTAATTTAGTGAATTAAAACATTTTCTATGTTCATTAAAGTAAAACCAACTTTTAGATTTTTTATTAAGTAGGACTAAGACTGGATATATGAAATACAAATTTATTAACACAGAAACAAAAACTTATCATTAAGATTGATGGATAGTAGGATCAAAAAAGTGGAAAGGGAGTATTGAGGGTTGTGTTATGTTCGTGTGACCTTTTGATTAAAACAAAAATTTTGCAAAATAGTTGAAACTTGTAAGGCCAGTCATTCTTTACAGTTCAGTACAAATGAGAATCTTAAGTTAGAAGTGTGCAGTTTCTGTATTTGTTGTTTGCCCATGTGAATCTCACTGAAATGACAGCTAAGTTCAATGAGGTTCTCACTAAAGTGGGTTCTAGAAGGGTGAGTTTTATGAAGCCTTGCTCCTGCATGTGGGATGCTGACTTTATAATTTGGGTACATGAAGCCTAAGTCACAGGCCCACCCACTATATTAAAATGCCTTCCAGTGAATCAAGAACCTTTTTTGTTTTCTATGTGATTCTCCAATGGTCAATGATGTTAAAAATCAAACAACCTATAAAATCGACATCATGAGTAGTAATCAATCAAAAGTGTATTTTATGAAGCAATCTTTTAAAAGCCAATAGGAATATATCATGGGGACATGAAGACAACAAGTATTCATTTTAGCCGTCAAGAGGGAACATGATATTTATATGAATGAGGCATTCAGCACTTGAATGATTTATTGACAGTAATTACAACATAATGTGGAAAATTTTAGCTATAAAATCACTTGCTTAATAACAAGATAGAGAAGGCTTACAATCTGATTTATGAATTCTGATGAGCATCCCTTTAAGAGTGGAACATTTTCAATGCACGGTCTGTATAAAGTTTGAGAAATCTGCAAAAAAAGGATCAGTTTGTTATTACAAAATATCACAAAAAATAAGGTAGGGAGCAAAGACATCAACATCATCAACAAAGGATATGATGAATGATATATCAGTTCTACTAGAACTTGTAAGTTTTTTTTTCATTCTTTTCAACATATGAACAGGATATGCTATACTGGTAAGCTGCAAACTCATACAAGAATAAGTAATACAAGAAAAATTTTTCCGTCCTAACAATTCAGGAAATAAGAAATTTAGGACTCAAAAGTCTATAAAAACATAAGTATCACGTAATAAGGTAGACATGAAACACCAGAAAATGGAAATGGAATGAAGAGTTGTAACTGTTTGACTCATAATGGTCCAGGGATTCTTGTCATTTGCACCTTCGCACGAATTGAAGCTGGAATATCTTGGAGAACTGAAGCTTCAGTATAGCTGCTTTCATACTGCAAGCGCACATGTCCTTTAATCTGGTCACGTATGTCCTTCCCTAATCTGTTTCTGTTCATGTATCGTATAAGATCTTTCATTTTGTCTCTAAACCTTTCTGTTTTTGATCCTTTCACAATCAGTGCAGTCATATTACCAATAAGATAAGCTCCCAGAATCATATCAAAAGAGACATAGATCATAATAAATACCATTTCTCTGGGATTGACTGCATGTATGTCTCCATAACCTGTAATCATCAGAGTAAAAAAATTGAGAATTTCAGAAAGAAAAAAAATCATATAAAATTATGACAATCTGTTGTAAAGTAGATCATTAAATACCAATTAGATGAGTCTTAGATGACACATCAAGAGTATTAAAGCTAGTGTTTGGAGAACATATATGGTAAGAAAAGAAGAAAATTTCACATACAAATATCATACATATTTGTATATGAATATATAATATTCATCTGATATATTTTTTGCAGTTTCCAAATTACATGACACCTTTGCTCTTTTCTTCTTAATTTAAGACATCCAACTTCAGAGATCAACGTTAGAATTTATCTTCAAACAATGTTTATTCTTGTACTACTTTTCATTATTATACTGAAAAGTTTTGTGCTTCAAAATCCAAGCCAGCACAGCAGAACAAATTAATCTTCCACAGTAATATGATGTTTTAACTAACTTGTCTAACAAGCTTCCAAGTGACTAGATTAAGCTAAATTTATAATACAAAGATCCAACCGAGAAATATTATAGTTTCATCAGCTAGAACAGAAAATTATTAGAGAAAATTTATTTATTAGAAAAAATGAGAATTAAAGGACAAAAAAGCTACGTGAACAGCTCAAATGCCCAAAACCTTGTCCATAAAAACTATGAACGTGAAGAATTAGGTTACATATGCAAACTATAGTTTAGTTCAAGGTATACAGTTTCGAATGGTACCGAGCGGTATGTATCGGTTCGATAGTAAACCGGTACGCGGACCGCTCGCTACCGGGCGATATTTTTTTATTATATATATATATATATATATATATATATATATATATATATATATATATATATATATATATATATATATATATATATATATAT